AGCAGATAGGGGGAACTGCTGTAATAGAAATCTTCTTTCTTTCTTTTTTTTTGGTTAAAGATTTTATTTATTTATTTGACAGAGAGAGACAGCAATAGAGGGACGGTGGGGAAGCAGGCTCCCCACTGAGCAGGGAGCCCGATGCGGGACTCGACCCCAGGACCCTGGGATCATGACCTGAACTGAAGGCAGACGCTTAACAACTGAGCCACCGAGGCACCCCAAAATCTTCTTCCAATGGCATTAGCCTCTCCCTTCATCACTCAGTCTCCTCCGAACATTCAGATTTTGTGGGTGCAATTGATACACCCACACTGTGACCTGAAAAATTCCCATGCCCTGCAAAGGGAGATGTATATAAGAGTGCTCACTGCGGCATTGTTGGTTGTAGTGAAACATTGGAAACAACCAAAATGTCCGTCAGTAGAATGATGTTGTCACATGGTCCCATAATGGGTTACCCAAAAGCAGCAAAATGGAAAAGACGAGAGCCTTGTGTATCACAACACTGAATGAATCGCAGAATAAATCAATGTGTTTGCTTACGTGAAATTTAAAAATATGTATAAAACAATACTACACATTGTTTATAAATCATATTCTTGTAATAAAAGCATAAAAACATGGAGGAGACAGATTCTGTCCAAACTGGGAACCTGGTTTCCCGTGGGAAGGAGAGTGTGAGGTAAGATTAGGAAACGGTTCAAAGGAGGTTTCACCTCCATCTGTGGTGTTTCGCTCCTTTAAGGCCAAACAAATATTTGACCGAGATGTGGTGAAATGTTAAGGTTGTTCAAAATGTCTGGTAGGTACTTGGATGTTTGCTGTTCTATTTTGGTACTTTACTGTATGTGGGAGCTATTTCATCGTGAGAAGATATGATTTAGGCTGCATTAATTTTCTCAAGGTCGTATAAAGGACAACATGACAGGATGCTAGCAAGCTCTGTGTGCCCACCTCCATTGTGTCAGATTTCCTCCTCTCTCCCTAAGCCTCATTTTTAAAAATTGCTGACTTTTTAGAAAAAGGTGTAAACACTTGCACCACATGGAGAATACCCTGAGAGTCGATCAAGTATTCGTTTGCTATCCTCGGTGCGGTAGCCAGTCTCCAAATCGACCCTTAACAATTCCTACCTTCTGGTATTCACACCCATCCTACATTTTACCCGGGTTGGCCTGTGTGGCCAATGGAATATGGCAGAAGGGATGGTATCGCTTTTGAGATGAGGTTATAAAAAGACTACAGTTTCCATATTGGGTTCACGCTATTTCTTGTTCTTCTCTCTCTCTTTCTCTCTCTTCCTCTCTCTCACTTTCTTGCAACTCGCTCTGGGGAAAGCACACTGTCCTCTTCTGAGCAGCCCCTTGGAGGGGTCGGTGTAGCGAGGCATCAGAGCTTTCTATCAATAGCCAATCTGTGACACAGCAATAGGTAACCAATACATTCCATGTGTCCGCCATGTTTCCCCAGTGGGTACAAGATGACTGCCACAGCGCCAAACATCGAGTTCTCACAGGGCATCATCTCAGGCAGGAAGAATGGCGGATGGAGCCAAAGGGGCTCTCCCTACATACCTTTCTCCTTTTACCAAAGAGGAAAGTATTCCTTAGAAGCCACCAGCAGATTTCCCCTTGCTTCTCACTGACAACAACTGGATCTTATGATTGCTCCTAGATGCAAGAGGGGCTGGAAAATCAAGTGTCAGGTCTTTCAGCTGCTTTATAGGGATGTGGGCAGAGAACAAGTGGATGGGGAATGGCTACCGTGTAGCAACCACGGGAGCTACCAGCCCTTCCCACAGTTTCACTTTGTCTGGTTATTTCCACCCGGCACTCTTCACTTTTTCCTTCATACTCTGTATTCACTGTGAACTGGAAAGTAAGTTTTAATTAGATTCAGGTTAAACATTATTGGCAAGACTATTCATGGGCGATGCCGTGACCTTCATACTCACTCACCTCAAGAAACAACCAGTTTCTTCACTAAATAAACAGTTTACAAGATTTGAGCAGAGGGTGGTGTGCCATCAGTTAAAAGCTAACCCAGAATCCAGATGCTGTCTTTCTCCCTGACAGCTGTGTCCTGGGCAGCTTCACATATTCTATATGTATGGGAACTCTGGGTTCCTCTGTAAATTCGTTTTGGGTTGTCTTGTTGGGATCGTGCGTGGTAAGCGGTCTCCGTTTCTTGCCCGTGACTGCCTTGGGAGCTGATGAGTCACATGGGCAGTGCTAACTTAGTTCAAAGTCCCTGACAGGATTATGAGCCAACTTAAAAAATCAAATGCAGCAATGCTGGAGTGAGATCCTTTCTTGATGGCCTCCCCTTGAAGCTCTTAGGGCTTTCAGTATAATGCCGGGAACGAGGGGAAATGAGATAAACCCTCTTAGTTGTTCAACTCCGAGGCCCAGGACAGGCGAGGCCTGCGGCCCACTGGCCCTCGTCAGATGCGCTCTGCGGAGACTGCAGCTTAATCCAACAGCGAGGCCTGGGAAGCGGGGCTGCCTGAGGCCGCGTCAGGACAAGGCACCGTCCTTGAAAGGATGGTGGGCCCCAGCCTTCTGGAGCTCCGGCAGCCTGTGTAGAGCAAGGTGGTCTTGCTTCCTATTTGACTGGGGATAGCCAGGTGAACCTGGAAGGAGAGGACTTGTCCAAGGTTGTCTTTCTTCAACATAGCCCCACGCCAGCCTCCTCTGACTGCTCACCCTTCTCGGCTGCCTCCATGGCAGGGCTCTCTGCCCCCTCTCTGGAGCCTTCCCACCCCCCTGTCTCCAGCTCCAACGTCTTCTTGTCTTCTCAGACACGTCTCAAAGTTAACTCATCCTCTACCCAGTTTCCCCAGCGCGGCTGCAGTTTCCTGAAGCCAGCCGAAGGCCGCCCTGCCCCTCCCGACCCGCAGGCTGGAAATGAGGCCTCCATAGTGACTCATCCTCATCCAAGCAGTCCCCTGGTCACGGGAGTCTCTGCAGCCGTGGCTTCAGTAGCTGGTCTTCCTGGCCTGGCCTCCAACATCTCTAGAAGGCTACAGTGCTATTCTCCTCCCTCATCCTCCAGTCCTGGTCTCTTTGCTGGGTCCGAGCCCCCCAGCCAACTCCTCTTGCGTGTCGCAAGTGGATCACAGCTTCCTCTTCCGACCCCGTTTTCCATTCCACCTTATCTCCCAGACCGATCTGTTCCGGAAGCCTTGACCCTTACTACCCTTTAATAATAACAGAGGTACCACATGCCCGGCATTTTACAGCCATATCTTTATAGCTTCCGGCTTCTTCACATCCCCGAACCCCCGGCCCCACCATTTAGCTTCTCTGGTGCTTCCAGCCCACGCTACTCACCCTCGTATCTTAACTTTCCTGGCAGGAATCTCAGCCCCGCACAAGTTGGCCCTTAATTACAGACTGCCTCGTGTGGTTCTCTGGTTATTTCACGTTTGCTGTTCTTATTCCGAAGAAGCGGGAAGCCTCATACCACTTTCTGCGTGTGCGCACACATGGACACACACGTTTTCCCTCTTACACACACATTTAATCAAAAGGTCCCTTCCCAGATGGAGGAGGCAATTATGTATCTGGAACTATCCACCCAAGAGAGAAAACTCCCTCCTAACTGAATCCTGGGCATCGCCCACATTGTGGATTCCAGGGTGGACCAGGGGGGCCAAGAGTGGATGGGAGTTCCCTGCGTCGGGGGAGGCCTTGACATCATGTCCTAACAGAGTGTGGAGCTGGACTGAGCACTGAGTGAGGGACTTGGTGTCTCGATTCTAATTCTGCTCCTGCCACTGTACGGTCTTGGGGGGAGGGGAGAGGTGTGATCTTGCCAGCTTTGCGACATCCGAGGCAGAGAAATTTGTGGACTGAGGAGGGGCCTCCTTCCCAGGGCCTCAGTGCACAGCATCAGCAGGGGCATGACCAGTAGCCAACCTGGGTCCCCAGGCACCACCTCCTTTGCCCTCTGGGCTCCAACATACCTCTGAGCCCGATGCCCCCATATCTGGCCTCCCAAGCTGTTCATTCTTGGGGTTAAATACTGCCATCTCAAATCTATCATTAGAAGAGCGTGCAGTATGAAGCTCCAAACACTTAGAATGATCTAGATTTCAGACTGATTTTTTCCCGTGTACTTAGGAGACAACATGAAAGTCTGGGACTTGGTGAGAGGGTGCTACAGGTGAGTGGGTCAGTGTAGGGCGGGTGAGAAAGGGTGGGGAGAGATGGAGAGGCGGTGGTGGGTGGGGCCCTGAAGCCTGACTTCTCTTCTTTGCAATTTTGCCCGTGGCCAGTCCTAACATGTGAGCAAACACCCAAGTTCTTATGTAGGAACAAATAAAAACAATTGTGTAACACACCACACACGCCCCACAGAGCCTGGGGAAGGAGCCCAGGGAGGGGTGATGCCGTCGGGGGCATGGGTGGTGTGAGTGTGTCCCCCTCAAAAGCCATAACCAACCTGCTGGCTCTGGCCCCTGTGGGGGAGGGGACACCTTCCTCTTGGAGGGAGGCCAGCATATAATTCCCTGGCCGCCACAGCGTGTCAGAGAGAGAGGCACCTGATAACCATCGGTGGAGATTTTGCAACTCATTGTAAAGCCTCCTGGGCTGAGGGCTGGCTGAGCAATGCCTGCCTCTTTGGGATGGTCTGGGTGGTAGCTGCTGGCGCTGCTAGGCGTACGAGGCACCGGCCAAGGGCTGAGGAGTCTGTGCCAGAGATGAATCTAGCCACGCAATGAAGCCAGGGGGGTGCTCGCAGGCCCAAGACGCTGCTCACACATTCGGGGTGCCTCCTGTACCTCGACCTGGGCCTGAAGCCTTTTACCAGCCTTTGGCACTGCCTCCTGGAGGAGCTCGGCAGGCCCAGGCAGTGGCTGCGCGCACCACCCGTGGGTGTCCCGGCCGACGGGAGAGACGGCCCGTTTCTCAGCTCGGGGCCGGCAGGGCAGCTCGGCCTGAGCTCCAGCAGGAGAGCAGCTTCCGAGAGGCGAGCACTGGGGGGCCGAGGAGATGGAAGAACAGGTGTTCAAGGGGGACCCAGACACTCCTCATTCCATCTCCTTCTCCGGCAGTGGGTTTCTCTCCTTCTACCAGGCCGGGGCCGTGGATGCCCTTCGAGACTTGGCCCCCCGGATGCTGGAAACCACCCATCGCTTTGCTGGGACGTCAGCAGGTGCGGTGGTCGCGGCTCTGGTCATCTGCGGGATTGAAATGGGTAAGGCCTTGGTTCTGGGTGCCCCGGGGGAGCCTCTGGGGAGAGTCCTCAAAGTGAAGCCTGAGGATCGCTTGGGGACGCTTCAGGGAACAGAGCCAGGCCTGCTGGGTGGTGGGAAATGAAGAGAAGGGTTTGAGCGGGACGGCAGGCAGCTGGGACGTTTGAGGTTGGGGTTAGCCAGGTCCCAGCCTCTGACCCACTGGGTGAGTGTGGACCCATCTCTCCCTCTCCCTCAACACTCTTCTGTGATGCTCTGTGGACCAGGGCCTGGGAGAAGGAAAGGCAGTAGGTTTCCTCCAACATCCTGGCCTTGGAAGTTATGCCATGACACAGTCGGACACTGGGGTGAAGTGTCATTCCTCTTTTAAAGTGCCTGTATTAATAGTATTGTCCCTGGGTGGGGCAATACTTCACATCTTTACTGCCTTGGTGGGGTAGGTTTGTCAGCTCAGCTTCCAGGTGGCTGGAGAGGTAGAAGCCTTGCAGCTATACGGGGATGAACTGGAGGGGGAGAAACCGGGAAGGAATCCGGGAGATCTCACTTCACCTTCTTTCCTGCTGGTGCGGGGCCCCAGAGAGAAGGATGGGGTCCCACCTCTGAGCCAGAGGGCAGAAGCGCCCTCCTGGGCAGGGGAAACGGACACATGCCCGGTAGTCCCACACTGCAGGGCTAGACCAGCGTCCTCACAGGCTGCCTCGAGTGCATTTATTCATTCACTATGCTACTTTACAAAGTCTGTGCGCCGCCGCCCCCCCCCCCCCCCCGCCGTGAAGCAGACATTCTAGAGCGATGAGACAGAAAGTAAACATTCGGGCGCCTGGGTGGCTCAGTTGGTTAAGCAACTGCCTTCGGCTCAGGTCATGATCCTGGAGTCCTGGAATCGAGTCCCGCATCGGGCTCCCTGCTGCTCAGCAGGGAGTCTGCTTCGCCCTCTGACCCTCCCCCCCTCATGTGCTCTCTCTCTCTCTCTCATTCTCTCTCTCAAATAAATAAATAAAATCTTTAAAAAAAAAAAGAAAGTAAACATTCAGACAGGTAACCTGATGATGTCACGAGATCTATGGATAAAATGGTAGCAGAAAAGGGGCAGAGAATAAAGTGGGGGCTATTTTAGAAGGAGTGGTCAGGGAAGGCTTTTTGGAGGAGGCGGCATTCAAACAGAGACCAGAGTGATGTGAAGATGGGAGAAAGAGTGTTCCAGGGGGACGAGCAGCCGGGGAGCCAGGGAGTGGGGGCCAAGGCTGGAGAGGCAGGCGGGGGTCAGATGGCGCATGCACGATGCCTCGCAGCCAGAGCACCAAGCTCTGGCTTCACTGGGAGAGCTGAGGAGCACCGGCAGGCTGTACAGGGGTGACGTGGCGAGGTGGTGAAGAGCGTGTGCTCCGGGTGGATTGGATCCCAGCTCTGCCATTTCACCATGTGGACCTGGGGCAAATTACTGAATGCTCTGTGCCTCCGTTTCTGCCCCTGTGAAGTGGAGATTCCACCTGGACCTAATTCCCAGTGTTGTTTAAGCATTAACTGAGCTAGAGTGATGGGTTTATCACAGTGCCTGGCACATGGCAATGCTTGGTGTGTGCCAACTACCTGGTTGGGGTTTTTAAGGAACCTCAGCTGCTGGGCAGACTGAGTTGGAGAGGGAAGGGGGGCCACAAGGAGACTAGCGGGAGACTATGGCGTGTGTGTCTAGCGAGGGATGAACACAACAGGTAGCAGGGTCCTGAGGGGCAGTGAGAAGCCAGTGGGTCCAGGATGTACTTTGGAGGGAGAGCCAGTGACACTTGCCAAAGGGCCAGCAGCAGTGCGGGAGGAAGGGGTACCAGTGGGCTGCCTTCCTGCCTGGGGACCTCTGTGCTGGGTGAGAAGTCTGTCTTCATTGTAAAAAATAATAGTGATGCCCATTCACCGAGTAACTTATGGGCAAGATTATTTTTTTCCTTCGAATATTTCACAGGTTATAAATTCTTTCTCACTGTAAAAAATTCAAACAATGCAAAAGTATACAGGGTTTTCTTTTCAAAGACTCCGCTTTGTCCCCAATCCCACGCTCCCTCCTGTAGCCAGTTCTAAGCACTGTGCTTAGATCCTTCTAGATCTTTTTTTTTCACTTAAAAACATTTTTTAATTGTAGTATGGTTAACATAGAGTGTTGTATCCATTTCAGGTGTACAATATAGCGATTCAACAATTCTATACATTACTCGGTGCTTATCCTGACAAGTGTGCTGTTAATCCCCTTCACCTGTTTCACCCATCCCCCACCCATCTCACCTCTGGCAACCACCTGTTCTCTATGGTTAAGAGTCAGTTTGGGGGTTTGTCTCTTTTTTTCCGTGTTCATTTGTTTTGTTTCTTAAAGTCCACCTGGGAGTGAAATCATGGTATTTGTCTTTCTCTGACTGACTTATTTCACTTAACACGATACCCTCAAGGGCCATCCACACCGTTGCAAATGGCAAGATTTCATTCTTTTTTATGGCTGAGTAATTATCCATTCATCTATCAATGGACACTTGGGCTGCTATTATAAATAATGCCGCAATAAACATAGAGGTGCATGTATCCTTGTGAATTCGTGTTTTTGTATTATTTGGGTAAATACCCAATAGCGGAATTGCTATAATTCTATTTTTAACCTTTTGAGGAACCTCCATACTGTTTTCCACAGTGGCTGCACCAGTTTGCATTCCCACCAACAGCACACGAGGGTTCCCTTTTCTCCACACACTCACCAACACTTGCTGTTTCTTATGTTTTTGATTTTAGTCCTTCTGACAGGTGGGAGGTGCTGTCTTCTTGTGGTTTTGATTTGCATTTCCCTGATGATGAGTGACATGGAGCATTTTTCATGCGTCTGTTGGCCCCCCTACATCTTTTTTAATGCCCAGAGTCCTCTTTGAATGTAGCGGTTAATGCTTCAGTCGCACAATAGACCCTAGAACAAGCCCTCAGAAAGGAGCTGGGTGAGAGCCCGCACTCTCTTGTCTGGGAATCACAGAGCTCCTGCCCTTGGAGACAGCCTGCCTCTGGGATCTTCTCCCTTTCCAGGTATCTGTGTCACTCACCTGCTCCGTTGCTCCCAACCTCTTCATGTCTTTATTGCGACTTCTTAAAATACACCATCTGAGAGAGTCAGTGGTGTTTCCATCCTCTGGCATTCAAGGACTTGTCAGAATTCATTCATTTCAATCGGTTCAACCCCTACTGTCAAAAACGGACTCAGACAGGCTGAGGGGAGAGGCACTAGAACCCATGGGGAAAACTCCCTGTAGGTGTGACTAAGGCCTGGACCACGCACACGGCCCGTGATCAGGAGAGTTCAAGGAGGATGCACATGGGACTTGACCTTGTCATTCAGCAGCCTGTTTATGAGATTTATCCATGTCATTCCAGCCTCCTTCATTTGGGTTAACTGCCACGTAATCTACTGTTAGCCAGCACTTCCTTATATCAGGCACTGTTCTAAGTCTTCAGCATATTAACTCACCCAGTCCTCATAGTAGCCCCCTGAGGTGAAAACTATAATTGCCTCCATTTACAGAGGAGGAAACTGAGTCACAGAAGGTTTAACTAATTTGCCTAAAATGATACAAACAAGCACGCTGTAAATCTGGGATTAGAACCCAGTCTGGCCTCACCTTTTATTTACTTATTTATTTATTTTTATTAAAAAAATTTTTTTAAAGATTTATTTATTCTAGAAAGAGAGAGGGTGTGCACAAGTGGAGGGGGGAGAGCTAAGGGGTGGGGGAGGAGACTGTGCTGAACACAGAGCGCAATGTGGGGCTCAATCTCACGATCCTGAGATTGTGACCTGAGCCAAAACCAAGAGTTGGACACTTAACTGACTGAGCCACCTAGGCACCCCTGGCCTCACCTTTTAAACCACTCTGTTTCTTGACAAAGCAGTGACAGGGAGTGCAGACGCTGGTTGTATGGATCATAGGGTCAGGGAAGTCTCTCGGAGCAGATGGAATTTGCACCCGGACCTGGAGGGGGTGAGGGAGTGAGCCACGAGACTATCTGGGGAGAGCATTCTACAAAGAGGGACAAGTGACTTGTGAAACTCCCTGTCATCAGTCAGAAGCAGAGCAAGAAGCAGGACTCCATTTCCTGACTTCGGGATCTTTACCTCTTTCAGTATATATTCCATTAAGACTATATCATGGCTCATCTAGCCATTCTGTGGATGGAACAGCCACGTTTTTGTTATCAGCAACACTGCAGTGAACATCCTTGTTTATGTCTCTCATGCCCACATAGAATGTTTTCCTAGGATATGCATTCACATTAACATTACCAGACTTGGGGCGCCCGGGTGGCTCAGTTGTTTAAGCCGCTGCCTTCGGCTCAGTTCATGATCACAGGGTCCTGGGATCATCGGGCTCCTTGCTCAGCAGGGAGTCTGCTTCTCCCTCTGCTGCCCCCACCCTGCTTTTGAGCTCTCTCTCTCTCTGTGTGTCAAATAAATAAAATCTTAAAAAAAACACCAAAAACATCACCAGACCTGACTAAAGTATTCTCCCGAAGTGTTTGTACCAATTTAATCACTAGCAGTGTATACAAGTACGAATCTCCCCACAATGTCACCAGCTCCTGGAACTGTCAGACTTCAAAGTTCTAAGTCAATCTAATGAATGTGAAACTATATCTCATTTTCTTTTGCTTGTTTAATCTTCATATCCTGATTGGTAGTCATGTTCAGCATGTTTTTATCGCACGTGTTATCTGTGTATTTATTGCCTACTTGTGCACCCTCTTCTGTGACTTGCCTGTTTGCTCTTGAACTTTTCCTGTTTTCTTTTCCAACCATTACCTTGTTCTCTTTAACTTGCAGATGTTCTTTATATAGCCTGCACGCGAACCATGCGTCAGTTATAAGCATTGCTGCTCTCCTGTTTCACTGCATGGCTTGTTTTTTTATTTTTGGGATGTCTTTTGTCATTCAGAAAATTTCAGTCTGAAGCACAGTCAAATGTGTCCGTCTTTTCCTCTTACA